TTCTGGTCCCAGGCTCTGGCTGGTGCTGCCCCATTCACCCCTTGTTAATTCCCGCAGCGGTTCTGGTCCCAGGCTCTGGCTGGTGCTGCCCCATTCACCCCTTGTTAATTCCCGCAGCGGTTCTGGTCCCAGGCTCTGGCTGGTGCTGCCCCATTCACCCCTTGTTAATTCCCGCAGCGGTTCTGGTCCCAGGCTCTGGCTGGTGCTGCCCCATTCACCCCTTGTTAATTCCCGCAGCGGTTCTGGTCCCAGGCTCTGGCTGGTGCTGCCCCATTCACCCCTTGTTAATTCCCGCAGCGGTTCTGGTCCCAGGCTCTGGCTGGTGCTGCCCCATTCACCCCTTGTTAATTCCCGCAGCGGTTCTGGTCCCAGGCTCTGGCTGGTGCTGCCCCATTCACCCCTTGTTAATTCCCGCAGCGGTTCTGGTCCCAGGCTCTGGCTGGTGCTGCCCCATTCACCCCTTGTTAATTCCCGCAGCGGTTCTGGTCCCAGGCTCTGGCTGGTGCTGCCCCATTCACCCCTTGTTAATTCCCGCAGCGGTTCTGGTCCCAGGCTCTGGCTGGTGCTGCCCCATTCACCCCTTGTTAATTCCCGCAGCGGTTCTGGTCCCAGGCTCTGGCTGGTGCTGCCCCATTCACCCCTTGTTAATTCCCGCAGCGGTTCTGGTCCCAGGCTCTGGCTGGTGCTGCCCCATTCACCCCTTGTTAATTCCCGCAGCGGTTCTGGTCCCAGGCTCTGGCTGGTGCTGCCCCATTCACCCCTTGTTAATTCCCGCAGCGGTTCTGGTCCCAGGCTCTGGCTGGTGCTGCCCCATTCACCCCTTGTTAATTCCCGCAGCGGTTCTGGTCCCAGGCTCTGGCTGGTGCTGCCCCATTCACCCCTTGTTAATTCCCGCAGCGGTTCTGGTCCCAGGCTCTGGCTGGTGCTGCCCCATTCACCCCTTGTTAATTCCCGCAGCGGTTCTGGTCCCAGGCTCTGGCTGGTGCTGCCCCATTCACCCCTTGTTAATTCCCGCAGCGGTTCTGGTCCCAGGCTCTGGCTGGTGCTGCCCCATTCACCCCTTGTTAATTCCCGCAGCGGTTCTGGTCCCAGGCTCTGGCTGGTGCTGCCCCATTCACCCCTTGTTAATTCCCGCAGCGGTTCTGGTCCCAGGCTCTGGCTGGTGCTGCCCCATTCACCCCTTGTTAATTCCCGCAGCGGTTCTGGTCCCAGGCTCTGGCTGGTGCTGCCCCATTCACCCCTTGTTAATTCCCGCAGCGGTTCTGGTCCCAGGCTCTGGCTGGTGCTGCCCCATTCACCCCTTGTTAATTCCCGCAGCGGTTCTGGTCCCAGGCTCTGGCTGGTGCTGCCCCATTCACCCCTTGTTAATTCCCGCAGCGGTTCTGGTCCCAGGCTCTGGCTGGTGCTGCCCCATTCACCCCTTGTTAATTCCCGCAGCGGTTCTGGTCCCAGGCTCTGGCTGGTGCTGCCCCATTCACCCCTTGTTAATTCCCGCAGCGGTTCTGGTCCCAGGCTCTGGCTGGTGCTGCCCCATTCACCCCTTGTTAATTCCCGCAGCGGTTCTGGTCCCAGGCTCTGGCTGGTGCTGCCCCATTCACCCCTTGTTAATTCCCGCAGCGGTTCTGGTCCCAGGCTCTGGCTGGTGCTGCCCCATTCACCCCTTGTTAATTCCCGCAGCGGTTCTGGTCCCAGGCTCTGGCTGGTGCTGCCCCATTCACCCCTTGTTAATTCCCGCAGCGGTTCTGGTCCCAGGCTCTGGCTGGTGCTGCCCCATTCACCCCTTGTTAATTCCCGCAGCGGTTCTGGTCCCAGGCTCTGGCTGGTGCTGCCCCATTCACCCCTTGTTAATTCCCGCAGCGGTTCTGGTCCCAGGCTCTGGCTGGTGCTGCCCCATTCACCCCTTGTTAATTCCCGCAGCGGTTCTGGTCCCAGGCTCTGGCTGGTGCTGCCCCATTCACCCCTTGTTAATTCCCGCAGCGGTTCTGGTCCCAGGCTCTGGCTGGTGCTGCCCCATTCACCCCTTGTTAATTCCCGCAGCGGTTCTGGTCCCAGGCTCTGGCTGGTGCTGCCCCATTCACCCCTTGTTAATTCCCGCAGCGGTTCTGGTCCCAGGCTCTGGCTGGTGCTGCCCCATTCACCCCTTGTTAATTCCCGCAGCGGTTCTGGTCCCAGGCTCTGGCTGGTGCTGCCCCATTCACCCCTTGTTAATTCCCGCAGCGGTTCTGGTCCCAGGCTCTGGCTGGTGCTGCCCCATTCACCCCTTGTTAATTCCCGCAGCGGTTCTGGTCCCAGGCTCTGGCTGGTGCTGCCCCATTCACCCCTTGTTAATTCCCGCAGCGGTTCTGGTCCCAGGCTCTGGCTGGTGCTGCCCCATTCACCCCTTGTTAATTCCCGCAGCGGTTCTGGTCCCAGGCTCTGGCTGGTGCTGCCCCATTCACCCCTTGTTAATTCCCGCAGCGGTTCTGGTCCCAGGCTCTGGCTGGTGCTGCCCCATTCACCCCTTGTTAATTCCCGCAGCGGTTCTGGTCCCAGGCTCTGGCTGGTGCTGCCCCATTCACCCCTTGTTAATTCCCGCAGCGGTTCTGGTCCCAGGCTCTGGCTGGTGCTGCCCCATTCACCCCTTGTTAATTCCCGCAGCGGTTCTGGTCCCAGGCTCTGGCTGGTGCTGCCCCATTCACCCCTTGTTAATTCCCGCAGCGGTTCTGGTCCCAGGCTCTGGCTGGTGCTGCCCCATTCACCCCTTGTTAATTCCCGCAGCGGTTCTGGTCCCAGGCTCTGGCTGGTGCTGCCCCATTCACCCCTTGTTAATTCCCGCAGCGGTTCTGGTCCCAGGCTCTGGCTGGTGCTGCCCCATTCACCCCTTGTTAATTCCCGCAGCGGTTCTGGTCCCAGGCTCTGGCTGGTGCTGCCCCATTCACCCCTTGTTAATTCCCGCAGCGGTTCTGGTCCCAGGCTCTGGCTGGTGCTGCCCCATTCACCCCTTGTTAATTCCCGCAGCGGTTCTGGTCCCAGGCTCTGGCTGGTGCTGCCCCATTCACCCCTTGTTAATTCCCGCAGCGGTTCTGGTCCCAGGCTCTGGCTGGTGCTGCCCCATTCACCCCTTGTTAATTCCCGCAGCGGTTCTGGTCCCAGGCTCTGGCTGGTGCTGCCCCATTCACCCCTTGTTAATTCCCGCAGCGGTTCTGGTCCCAGGCTCTGGCTGGTGCTGCCCCATTCACCCCTTGTTAATTCCCGCAGCGGTTCTGGTCCCAGGCTCTGGCTGGTGCTGCCCCATTCACCCCTTGTTAATTCCCGCAGCGGTTCTGGTCCCAGGCTCTGGCTGGTGCTGCCCCATTCACCCCTTGTTAATTCCCGCAGCGGTTCTGGTCCCAGGCTCTGGCTGGTGCTGCCCCATTCACCCCTTGTTAATTCCCGCAGCGGTTCTGGTCCCAGGCTCTGGCTGGTGCTGCCCCATTCACCCCTTGTTAATTCCCGCAGCGGTTCTGGTCCCAGGCTCTGGCTGGTGCTGCCCCATTCACCCCTTGTTAATTCCCGCAGCGGTTCTGGTCCCAGGCTCTGGCTGGTGCTGCCCCATTCACCCCTTGTTAATTCCCGCAGCGGTTCTGGTCCCAGGCTCTGGCTGGTGCTGCCCCATTCACCCCTTGTTAATTCCCGCAGCGGTTCTGGTCCCAGGCTCTGGCTGGTGCTGCCCCATTCACCCCTTGTTAATTCCCGCAGCGGTTCTGGTCCCAGGCTCTGGCTGGTGCTGCCCCATTCACCCCTTGTTAATTCCCGCAGCGGTTCTGGTCCCAGGCTCTGGCTGGTGCTGCCCCATTCACCCCTTGTTAATTCCCGCAGCGGTTCTGGTCCCAGGCTCTGGCTGGTGCTGCCCCATTCACCCCTTGTTAATTCCCGCAGCGGTTCTGGTCCCAGGCTCTGGCTGGTGCTGCCCCATTCACCCCTTGTTAATTCCCGCAGCGGTTCTGGTCCCAGGCTCTGGCTGGTGCTGCCCCATTCACCCCTTGTTAATTCCCGCAGCGGTTCTGGTCCCAGGCTCTGGCTGGTGCTGCCCCATTCACCCCTTGTTAATTCCCGCAGCGGTTCTGGTCCCAGGCTCTGGCTGGTGCTGCCCCATTCACCCCTTGTTAATTCCCGCAGCGGTTCTGGTCCCAGGCTCTGGCTGGTGCTGCCCCATTCACCCCTTGTTAATTCCCGCAGCGGTTCTGGTCCCAGGCTCTGGCTGGTGCTGCCCCATTCACCCCTTGTTAATTCCCGCAGCGGTTCTGGTCCCAGGCTCTGGCTGGTGCTGCCCCATTCACCCCTTGTTAATTCCCGCAGCGGTTCTGGTCCCAGGCTCTGGCTGGTGCTGCCCCATTCACCCCTTGTTAATTCCCGCAGCGGTTCTGGTCCCAGGCTCTGGCTGGTGCTGCCCCATTCACCCCTTGCCAAACCAGACAAAACCCACCCCATTGCTGTGGCCCTGACTGAGCAGGAGAAGGACGCGCCCCACATTCCCCTCCCACTGGAGCCTCTGGGTGCCCAGGCTGCAGGCTCCAGCCCTGCAGTGGGATGGTGGGAGGGCTGGAGCATCAGTATGGACTCCTCAATGCTGGGGGAAGCCCTGAGCTGCAGAGGCCGAATGCAGGTGAGCCTGAAGTTCCCCACCCCTGCTCTAAATCCCCAGGGGGCCACTGGCTGAATTTCACTCACGTGGGTTTGTGGGGAGCCTCCCTGCCTGATGACAAAGCTCTTTCTGGAGCCCAGCCCAGGGGAAAAATATCTCTAGCCCCACATCCACCTGCTACCCGGTTCTCTTTACTTCCATACTGGGTCACCTCCTTGGTGTGAATGTCGCCTCTTCATGCATTTATTTGTGCACGGTCAGCATCATCCGCCTTTGCTAATTCCACAGCGGTTCTGGTCCCAGGCTCTGGCTGGTGCTGCCCCATTCACCCCTTGTTAATTCCCACAGCAGTTCCGTGCCCAGGCTGTGACTTACACTAACTCTGTGCTCCCCCCAGATTGGGCTGCTGTCGATCTGCGTGGTGGACGCGGGGGAGACGGTGCTGGCAGAAGGGCTGCGCGTGGCGCCCTGGGAACGGGGCAAGGGTGTGGCTGGTGTGCTGCAGCAATTCTGCACTGAGCTGGTCAAGAAGAAGCACCCCAGCATCAAGGTCTTGCGGCTGATGCGGGACGACTACCTGAGCCCCAAGGTCTTCCAGAAATACCGTCTGATTACCACGCAGGTGGGTAGGGGCATGTGGAGAGGGGCTATTTGGCGCATTACAATAGTGCCACACTAGGGATGGACTTGAGTCCTGTCCCTGAGGGTATGTCTACACTACATTCAAACTAGCAGCCGTTAGTTCGAATTAACTTTCATAACGGCTACACATACAAACCGCTAGTTCGAATTTAAATCAAACTAGAGGAGCGCTTAAGTGGAACCAGGTAAACCTCCTTCTACGAGGAGTAACGCCTAGTTCGAATTAGTGCTGTGGTGTAGACATACCCTGACTGAGGTCAGAGCCTCGCTGTGCCAGGCACCACAACCCCTCCCACCCCCGCAGCAAAAGACCAGCTACCTGGAGAGCCTTTCCCCCCACTGCTGGAGAGCCTTGTGATGATTCACCCAAGGTCACCCAGAGCTGGGGTAAGAACCCAGAGGCCCCTGAACTGGGCACAGAACCCAGAACTCGAGCCCAGAGCCCAGGGCCCCAGAACCCAAGCCCAGAGCCCAGGGCCCCAGAACTCAAGCCCAGAGCCCAGGGCCCCAGAACCCGAGCACAGAGCCCAGGGCCCCAGAACCCGAGCACAGAGCCCAGGGGCCCCACAATTGGGCAAAGATCCCAGGGACCCACACAACTGGGCACAGAATCCAGAAGCCCCAGAACTGGGCAAAGGGCCTAAGGGCCCCAGAACCTGAGCACAGAGCCCAGGGGCCCCAGAACTGGGTGCAGAACCCAGAGGCCCACCGCTCTGGCCCCAAGCCTTCCTGCCTGGGGGTATCTTTGCTGTCCGGGGCAGGGGGTCCCTGGATCAACTAGGTAGCTGCTCTTGCTGGCCCCAAGCCCTTCATGTCCCTGGACTGGAGTCAGCCACACTGGGCAGCTGTGGGTGGACTCTGCCGCTCTGCCCATCCCTCTAGTGTCTGGTTCCTGGGACGGCTGTGGCTGGTGACCCACTTTCTCAGGCACATGAGCCGGGGGAAGTGCTAGTTCAATTACTGCAAATCTGTCCTGGCATGTGATACTGGGAGAGGGAACTAGAGCATCAGGGGCCCCGGGGAGGAGGGAACAGGGGGAGGAGCCAGGACTCCTGGATTTTTATCCCAGCTCTGAGAGGGAAGTTGGGGAAGGGGGCGGAGAGAGAAGGAGGCAGGAATCCTGGGTTCTCTGCCTTAGAGGAAACAGGTCCCCTGCCCCATTGCGCCCCCGTGCCAACCAGGCCCTGTCGTGGGGCTGGGTGGGAGGCAGTGCCACGCCTCTTCCCTGCCCCCCACGGCAGCCCATGGCCCCCAGCCATGTGACTGTCATGTTTCCTTGCTGGCGGCTCCAGGGCATCCTGCTGGTGCGGTTCAACGCGGCAGAGCTGCTGGCCCGGCTGGATGCGGCGGTGGCCCAGCTGCAGGCAGGAGGATTCCAGCCTCTGCCCACCGAGGTGCTGGAGCCGGGTGAGGTGCGGACACTGGTGCTGAGCCCGGCCTTTCAGAGCGAGGTGCTGCCCAATAGCACCCTCATCCAGGACTGGCAGCCCTACAAGCCGAGCGAGGCCAACCTGGCCCTGCTGGAGCAGAGGCAGCTGTACTGGGTGGTGGATTGCAAGGCCCGGCCCATGACTGCCTCCCTCTGCACCCAGCCCTTCCCCATCCCGCTGGGCAAGGACTGGGTCTACCTCAACATCGATACCTTTGGCCACCACCCCACCCACCTCAAGAGCCAGTTGCTGCACCATCTGCGGGCCCACCTGCCCACCCTGCGGGGCAACGTCATGTGCCAGCTCTTCCTGGCACCCGGGCTTTGGGGGGAGCTGGCCGAGTTCTGCCAGGCCGGCCTGCAGCTGGAGCTGGCCAAGGGCTACACTGAGCAGTACCTGCTGGAGGTGAACATCTAGGGAGTTGGGGGGACATGGAGGCCCCCCAGCCCTGCAGTAGCACTTTCTGAGCCTTCATTCCCCCCAAGACAAGCTGCCCTAGGAGATGTGCCCCAACCCACCTAACCCCCTCCCACTCAGCAAGCCCTAGCAACAGTCGAGGGAGCTGAGCTGCACATGGCGTGGCAACAGAACCAGGTGCCGGCAGGGAAGGTTAGCATGGCCACCCAGACCTGCTTTGATTGCCGTAGCCTAGCAACAGCTGGGGTGATGATGGACCCTAGCAACAGCTGGCCCAGTGACGGAGCCTGGTGATGGTTGGCATGGTAACAGAACCTGGTGATGGTTGGTACGGTGATGGTTGGCATGGTGACAGAGCCCAGTGATGGTCAACATGGTGACGGAGCCTGGTGACGTTTGGCATGGCAGCAGAACCCAGTGATGGTTGATGGAGCCTAGCAATAGGAGGCATGGCAATAGCGGGTTGACTGCTGGATCGTGGCCGTAGCAATGGCTGATGGAAACCCGTGTACAGGGCTCTGATCCTCCCACCCCTACATCAGCCAGGCCTAAACCCCTCCTCCACCCCTCTAGTGATGCCTCTAAACTGAATAATGTGCAATAGAGTCTTCTAAAGGGAGATGTATTTATACATTCGCCTGCAACAGGACCCCCTCCCCCATCACACCCATGCAGCCCCCAGCGCTGGAGCCTGTCCGCCCTCTATGTGGCGTTAGAGTCCATCTGTCCCCCATCCTGGCACTAGAGCCTCCCCAGTGCCTCCCATTATGGCGCTAGAGCCCCCCACCTTCACTACATTACAGCCTGACCCCAATGTAGCCCCAGAGCCCGTATTCCCCTCCCCAGCACTAGGCTGCCCCCCCCACCAGCGAATTCCCCCCTCCCTGGAGGTCAGGAGCAGGGATCCCGCCTCCCTTCCTCAGAGCAGCAACTTGTAGGGGGACCCCTCACCCTCCATTTGCCTTCGCTGTCTCTGGATGAGCCCCTGGTATTAGCATTAGTCCTGCCCCACCCTCCCCCACCCCCTCCGAGCTAACACAGAATGGAGAGAGAATGGGCCCTGTTTTTTTTCTGTGACTGACCCCCAGTAACTCCTCCATCCCTCCCTCGCAATCCCCTTGTGGCAATAAACTCTTTTGTCCCCTGCCTCACCTCTCATTTGTATGCAGCACCCAGACCTGCTCCCACGCCCCTGCTAGCTGCAGGGATGGGGGCCCCAGGACACATGGGGGGTTCACACCAGGGAGAGGGGCAGCAGCTTTGTCCAGTGTCTAAACTTGGGGTAAGAGCCCAAGTCAGGGAAGTGTGGGCAACTATATGGACCTGTCAGAGACACCTCCCACCCCCCGTGATCCATTCCCTGCCCTCCTGAGCAAGCCCTTGCCTGTCGTGGTGCTGGGTGGGAGCTGGTGCCCCCTAGCGGGAACAGGGCCTGCCCCATTCCCTGCCCCCCCGAGCCAGCCAGTCCCTGCCCTGGAGCCAGGTGGGAGC